GAATGATGCTTGGACCCTTTGGCTAAGGTTCTTGTACTTATAACTGTACTTACTCAGTCCCGTGAACCTCCATGCATGACATCAGACCCTCAGTTGTATTTGTTCGTTCGGGTACCCGGACTTGGGGATCTAGAAGTGAAGAAGGCCCAGGGTTTCACTCATCACTGTCTCTTTTGTGTCGAAGATTGCGCTTTGATGCGGTTGGCAGGCGCTGGGGTGTAAATTAGATCTGATCGTACAGGAGCATGGGGGAAGGCCATAAGTACCTGAAGTATATAAGTATGATTACAACTATGATACCTTGTGAACTACCCTGTAGTTGCCAAGTCCCGTGAGCCTCCAGCATTGCATGGGTTCATTCAGAGCATCCCTGAACCGAGGACCGGAGGCCGTTTCACACAGTTTGGACGCCTTGGTCACAGACTAGCGTTTTGGTGTACGTATTCCTGAAATCCAAACCTAGCCCCCAAACCTACCTTGACCCCTTCAAGCGGCAAGGTTCTTACACTTTTAGACGTTCGTTTGCCATGATCAGGATTTCGGGTCTGGGTCTGGGGTTCAGGGTTTAGCTGCCCGCTAACTATAGTTCTCCAGCGCATGATCCCGTATCCAGCAGCGCTAAGCAAGCTTCACCGGAACGGCCGATAAGTTGGGCCTTTCCAGATATCCCATATCGAGGTGGACACATACAGATCCACTTGGAGGATCATGGGACTTAGTAACTAGGGTTATAAATAAGGTAGCTGTACTTATAACTCCAATGAGGGGACTTACAACTCCAATTAGGGTACTAATAACTCCAATTAGGGTACTTCTAACCTTACTTACTAAGTCCCATGATCCTCCAAGCAGGCCCCTTATAACAGCTAGCCAGACAGGATCTTCCCCCTTGATCTCCGCTTCGAGCGGGCAGGTCTGGCCCGTGCAGTTTAGGATTCAGGTTGGGGGTATTAGCCCAAAGGGTCCAAGTAATGGTATGGTATATACTTTGGGGGGCCAAAATACCTACTATCATGGTACTTAGACCCTTTGGGTAGGGCATTCGAGGGTGTCGGTTCTACCACCGCAAGGTCGAGACGAATTCTGCGCCTATATGTGTACTGCAACAACAAGAAGCAGTGTTACTGCTAGTGCACACTACTACTGCTACTGCTACAGGCCCTTCCAGCTAACAGAGCCGGGGTACTTGCGCAAGACTTTTCTCATTTCTCAGTGGAGTGATGTTGGTTCCTGGCGGAGTGGGGAGTGGTGCGCGGGGTGGTTGCCTGCATGGTGTTACAATTTGTGTCGCCGGCTCCAGGCTGTGGCCAGTGCGGTTGCTTCTGAAGTAGTATACCATAGTATACCTTTTCTACTACATTTTTTCTTCTTCTGCTACTGTTACTTATGCCACCACTAGTACTACCATTACGACTACGACTACTGCTACTAGTTGCTATGCCTAGTACTGCTATCATGATTAGTATTCTTACTGCGACCACTGCTGCTGCTACTGCTACTGCGACACTTCGTTGTGCGGACAAGCATGTTGAGATGTTCAAGCCTTACAGCCGCCCACCTGCACCAACATCTCCGCCATGCCACCACCACCACCACCAGCACCACCACGCCCACGGCTACGTTCTCATGTGCTGTCGGTTCTCGAGGCTCCAGTGTTCAGGTATCAGACGTGCCGGGTCTTCGGAGCTTGGGCTGACGTTCAGACAGAATCAGCGTGCATGGCTTCTCAGGATTTGCATATGGGTGGTCGTCAAAATTATGGTCCCTTTGTGGGTCCTTATTATAATACGGCACCTACTATTTAGAGCACCAAAAAGAAACCTTAATTTTCACAACCACCCATATAGTGCTGCACCACTGAACTCTGCTCCGGGGCCCAACGTCGCAACTGCGATACTCAAACTGCAGAGGCACTTAAACTCTGTCTGGGGGTTTCAGCGCAGGAGTGCTCCGCGCAGAAAGACCCTTAAACAAGGGACATCTATAGTTTCCCTTGCCATAAGCCGAAACCCTAAACCCTAAACCCAAACCCCACACAAAGACTTGTCCTCCGGGGCCCGGGCGACCGGCCAAACATTAATCAAAATTAGAGTTCAGTCTTTCCATCTACAGGATCCCGATGCTTAGGTGCATTTTGGGAATCTTCGAACCGTATGCTAAAAGCACCCGCACCCCTAAACCCAACCAAAAAACGTAAAACTTAAACCCCAAAGGCCGCTTGTTCCTTTGGCAGGTTGGGGAGCAAGCAGCTTCAGCAGCTGAGTGAACCTCTGTACATTGGAGATTCTGAACGCCATCTGAACAATAAGATAGGCACAAAAGCACAAGAAGATAAACCACAGGCACTACCCGATTACCCCAAGGGTCCACAGTGACATACTCTCCAAAACACTAACCCGCATAGCTACTATTGTCCCACAACCGAGTACCTGATTACTGGGTCCTTTGGACCCTGCGGGTTACATGCATGTTCTTGCTTATGCGTTTCTTGGCAGGTATATCTTTGCCATCTCCCATACCCGAGCTAGGCCAAAGAGTTGTGCCCCTGCGTTTTTCCGCGGTTTGCAGTGGGCGCGGGCCCCGGCGGGTAGCACGACTGTAGCATAGACCGTGGAGAAAGAGAAGGGAGTCGAACAGTGTTGAGGTACATATCGATAGAACAAGTCAAAAAGACCGGCACGACGACGCAGGCATACATTGATTGATGTTCAATCGAGGAGGGTGCTTCAGTGCTACAAGTTGCTGCAACTTAGTATCTCATGAGGTGCTATGGCATTATGCTGTAGTAACATACATACATACATACATACATACATACATATACGGACGGACGAGCAGACGGACAGGCAGGCAGGCAGGCAGGCAGAGGACAGACAGACCAACCGACAGACAGTTGCGCTTGAAGGGATGGTCTTGAGCTGCAATTGCGACTCCTTCCGGTAAGCATCGGCACCAGTCGGCAGAATGACAGGCACACATGGGAAAGACTGCCTAGAGTTTCGAAGCACGGGTCTAAGGGCTGTCCCAGAGCACTAAATAGCCTCAGCAAGTCCCGAAGTGCAACTCCAAGCATTGTGAAACTAGCCCCATAGCCCCCACACTTTGGTAGCCTGGAAACGCGAAACCCAAAGCGAAGCAGAGAGTTTCGGGTCTTCCTTGCGTGGTCCTTGAAATCGGCACCTGGGCGCCAAGGAATCGCTCCCTGGCCGAAATTACCTTGCTCTTTGGGGCTTTAAGGTTTAGGGTTGTAGGGGTTCAGGGTTTAGGGATATATCGGATATTTAGGGGTTCAAGGGGGGTTAGGCTGCTGGGTTTTAGAGGTTTAGGTTCGTTAGGGGTTAGGGTTTTCTGGTTTTGGTGCAGGGTTTAGTGTCATGGTTTGGGCTGAACATGCTCCAATCTGGTTTCTCATGAGTCTCACCTGGAGTACAGTAGAAGCCAGAAAGTTGGAATATCATTATCGTAACCCCTTTAAGGTAAATTATAGGGGATCCTACCATTAATCCATATTCCAACTTTCTGGAGTTCCCTTTAGGCAATCTTTTCTCTTGTGTGTAGACATTTTGACGTTGAGGTTTCTTGAGCCACGAGCTCCGCAGATGGATGGAAGATAGATCCCCTAAGGCTCCATGTGCCCATATAGTAGGTACTTAGGCCTTAAAGGGGTCCCCATATAGGTACTTTAAGGCCAAAGTACCTACTATATGGGTACATGGAGCCTTTGGGATCGACAGATCGACGAAGAGAAACTTAGGCCCCAAAAACCCTAAACCCTAAACCCTACACCTCTGAACCCTAAACCTTAACCCCCCCCAGCCCCAAACAATAGTAGAGAGTGGGGCCAGAGCTTGGGTTCAGAGTTTACAGAGTCTACTTGGAGGATCATGGGACTTAGTAACTAGGTTTATACATAAGGTAACTATACTTATAACTCCAATTAGGGTACTTATAACCTTACTTACGAAGTCCCATGATCCTCCAAGTATCATGTACCTCTAGAGCAAATGCCTTGGCCTTCAATTGTTTGTGTAGGGACCCTCTCGAGGCCAAAGCACATAATATATAGGTACAGGCGACTTAGTAAGTAGGGTTGTGGGAACCTTAATTGGACATATGTGCACTTAAAACCCCAGTTACTTCTTTTACAACCCTAGCTGTTAGGTCCCATGAAACCTCCAAGTGGCTAAATCTGTAGATCCTCTATAGAATCCTTAAGGAATCCCTAATGGTCCAAGTACCTAATTATCATAAGCTCCAAAATCCTAACCTACATAACTACTATCCTAAAGCCGAGTACCTCCTTATTGGGTCCTTTGGACCCTTGGGGAATCCTTTGAGGAACCCCCAAGGACCCTTCGAATCCCTCAGGGTCGATAGGGTCCACAGTCTCGGGCTCAGGGCTCAGAGCCTGAACATCAGACCCTGCAGTAATCCCCTATAGATCCCTTTAAGGGAACCCCTTATGGATCCCTTTAAAGGAGCCCCCTATAGATCCCTTTAAAGTAGGGTTTAGGGTTTAGGGTTGAAAGTAATCCCCAAAAAGCTGGAAGCCGGATTAAGGACGATCAGTACTCGGATTCCTTGTTCGTGACTCTCAAGGATTGAGGGTATTGGGTTTCCAACCTCTATCCTTCTACTATAAGCTTATCAGGGTTCTGTTCGTTTCATCTTGGACTTGTCAGTCTTCATACTACTGCGACGACGACGACTATATTACGCCGTCGATACGTTCCAGCCTAAAGGTCAGTTATAAGACACCCTCAACAAGGAGCCGTAAAGGTTCGGGCCGAATCCTCATGGTCCTTAGTACCTATATCGTATATACTTTGGAGCTTCAATGCGGCTCATCGTGCTTGTAGGGTAGGGTCGATGTATATGCAAAGATGAAGCTTCCGTAAGATTTTCTAGTACCCACTCCCGCCCCTCGAGGCAAACCTAAACCCCTAAACCGCTAAACCCGAAACCCGAAGCCCTAGACCCTGTTTCCTGGGAGGCACACGATGGTGCTCTTTGACTGGCTGAACGAATTGGCAGGGCCTTGCTCCTTGCCCTTCAAACCCCTTAAGGGGCTCCTTTAACTTGGGGGTACTTAGAATTCATTTTTTATTGTTGGTTATTATAATCTCGAAGAAACAGCTAAAACTATAGGTTTTGTTAGGGTTCTAAGTTCAGTATAGTTAAGGGCTCCTTTAAGGGTTCCGTCTGCTTTGTTGGGCTGTAGGCTGTTAAGTTGTTTCGAGATGGAGTTTTGGGGTTCAGGGTTTGGGGGAGCGTCAGCTAATCCATGAAGAACAAGTGTGTCGTGAAGTACAACAGTTGGCAAGCGCTTGTTAACACTAGTGGCTTCAAATGGTTTCAGTATCGGGGCGAGGGGGCTATGTGTTCAAGCTTAAGGGTTGATTGTTGGCTGAGTTTCGGGGTTCTGGGGTGTGTGTTTTTTCTTTTCATTTCAAGATTTGTGGGCTTGCAGGGTTCGGGTGTATTGCAGTGTTTGGAGTTCACAAGGTTTGGTATTTTCTGAGTTTGTAGTTTCAGTGCTGACTTTATTTTGGGGCAGAGATTTCCAGGATTTGGTGTAGTGTTTCCGGTTGCTTTGGTGCTTTAGGCTTAACACGCCCTCCTAGCAGTAGAGTTTAGGCTTCATTTTCTATGGTGGCATTATGTTCCCCATGTACACCCAAGGGCTAACCTTAAGATTAAGGTCCCCCAAAACGACTGGACAAGTAAGCTCTAGATTGTAGCAAGTTGATACAGAGTTCAGACTTCAGTTGAAGCCTTCTGGGCTTGGGTAAAGTAGGGGTCGGAACAGTTATTGACACTACTCCTTGGGGCTCTGAGTACAACTACACAAGGAAGGATAATGAGAGCATAGTACACCCCGAAACCTATTCTAAGCATAAAGGCCCCTGTGCAGTTTCGGTTCGAGTTTCGTTTGGTAGCCATGGTTACCAGTTCTTAGTAAGGAGCGACCAGGTCTTAATGGGTCGAGGTGTAGAAATGGTGAAGCGCCAGTACTAATTAAGGGATGCGCCTGGAGGACGCGGGGGTGACCCCAGATTAAACACCAGAGCCACGAGAAGAACTATCAATAGCCGATAGCCGCTAGCCCTTAACCCCAATGCCCACCACCAAACAAATCTCGACAAAATCATCCCATGCTCCCAAACCCTACTCAACTCCCCCTTTCTCACCAAACAACAGCGACGTTGCATCCTTTTGAGGTGTATCTCGGTGTTGTGTGTGTGTGTGTGTGTGTGTGTCTGCGTGCGTGCGACAGTGGCCTCAACCGAAACCTCTATGCAGACATTTCAGAAGGGTCAGAAGTGTCCGACACTTTGTAAGCAAGCCCATTATGCTAATTTACCTACAGAGTGGCTGATTAACCTACCGAAATAATTGCACAGGTGCCTATATAGACTGTAAAGAAGGCCGTAGGCCTCTAAATCGAGACCCAACGCAGTCTAGATCATTCTAGCCTTACAGAATGAATATAGTGCCTAAGGCAGGCTTTGGGTTGGGGGTGTAGGGTATTGCGGCCTTTCGTAATCTGCCCCCCAGAACCCTACTCTAATTATTAAGGCCCCTACATGACTCCTTGATGTTGACCCAGCCTGAACCCTAAACTCCTTGATGTCGACCCAAGGCTGCATCACGGGGCCGTGTTTCAATTGTCCCGGACCAGCAAGCAAAGGCCATGCTTGGGAGTTTTTGCTCCGAGATTTACGGGTTTAGTCCACATACCAAGGATTCTAGCATTTAGGGTTTAAAGTATGTTGTTGAAACTCCCAGGATAATTTCAAGGTCCTTTGCCGTATATACACTTGCAGCCACAAAGCCTGCAACATGTCAAGTTTGGTTCGCTATACCCCATATAAGGTAGTAAATCCCGCAGAGCATTATAGGCACTCGTAACTGGAGCAACAGGTACTTCTGGATGGGCTACTGCTACAACTATTGAACCAACTTTGTACGCCCCCGAGTTTCTGAAATAGGATAGATTCGGATAGATGCCTCGGGGTCACCCTGAATCTAAACCGTTTAGATCAAGTAGGCAACTCCCAAGCTTCGTGGAAGCTGGCTTCCTTCGGAATGGCCCTAAATTCCTAAATCCCCATCACAATACTTTCATCTAGACGTATGGGGACGACACTGACATGCATTTTCCGAGCACTTTTTTGGACTGAAGCCGGAAGCCTTAAAACCCCGAAACTTTAAACGACTCTACACCATACCGAAACCCTACACCGTGCATATTGCGCAGCTTTGGGCTTTGGCTTGGGCAGGTGGCCGCTCCCACCGCGATCAAATCTTGAGGACCTTGCGCAGTCCCGGCCGGTGGCCCGGATTAGGGGTCAGTGCACGGCCCTGAATATTTGGTAAATTTACAGTACCGGCGCCTGGATAATCAGTATAATTACGTTAGTTGGTTTGGTGGTGGCATGTCCTTGCATAGGTTTGAATTGCAGCAAACGCCCAGAAAGTTGGAAACACCAAACGGATGACAAATGCTGCTCCCGGCATAATAGCAGAAGCCATAAAGTTGCAATATGCGTCGAGGATGATTAGTGCTGAACTAACGCTGGGTTTCCCTCCGTCTCAGAATTTTAAAGACAAGGGTATGAGGATAGTAGTGTAGGAACCTGATTAGGACCATAGGGCATGAAAACAACTAGCTGCCAACCTTATGGCAGATAATACAGAGTCCCCAAAGTTGGACGTAGTCTACTTCTAAACCCTAAACCCTACAAACCCTAGACCGTGAACCCGTCCGGAAAAACTACGTTCTAATTGTTTTTTGAAGTCCCCCAGACAACCTGAAGCCTCAGGGAACTTGGTCACCCAAAGGGTCCTAAGTACCCAAATGGTAGAATGTAGGGGTTTTTTTAGTAAGAGGAGTTACTATTATGAACTCCCATAACAGTACCTAGGATCCTTTGGGTCAGTTTTTTTATTAAGAGGAATTACTATTAATATGAACTCCCATAACAGTACCTAGGACCCTTTTTTGGGGTCAGTAGCAGTTGAAGGACTTCAGCGGTCGTTCTGCAGGGTTTTGGTTCCCAGGCTCACCGGGCGCCAGCAAGGAGGTTCTATGCCAAAGGGTCTTAAAGGGTCCAAGTAATGGTATAGTATATACTTTGGGGGCCAAAATACCAAATATAATGGTACTCGGACCGTTGGAGTTATGAGTACCCGACGCTTTATTTATGCAAATTACACTTCTTAAGTATTTGGTTTTGTACGTAAACAGCTCAGGGCTAGTTGCTTTGTTTGTTTTGGTAGAGTCTTGTCTAACTAGGACCTACAGTAGGCCCTTATTCCCTTTTTTTGGGGTTTAGGTTCCCTTATAAGCCCCTTTAAACCGAAAAGGGCACCCTTTTTATTCCCAGGTTACTCTTGGGTCTAGTGTCTAAAGTGTCCTGAATTTCCGGGGAAATCCTGACCTTCAACGCCCTGAAGCCGAACGCACGATCTTTCATAGAGTAAGCACGGGTCGGAGGAATTACGAACATGATTCCTCAGGGTTTCTTAGTCTCACTATAGCTTACGCTATGGCCAAAAACCCTTGTTTATTGTCTGTTTGGGATCCCCTAGTCACCCCCTTCAAAGAAACACCCTTTAAACCTAATAAGCCCTTTTATCCCTCTCTAAGCCCTATAGCCTTAAAACCCAAAACCCCAAAAGCCACAGCCCAAAACCCTAAACCCCAAACCCTGAACGTTAAACCCCTAATTACACCCCTGAAGCCCCAAAAGCCCTTAACCCACGAAGTGAACACTCCGTGCGAGTAGAACCCGGAAGTCCAGCACCACTAAATGCGAACCCGACATCCTAACACCTAGACCCTGAACCCCAAAACCCCAACCCCGAATCTAACCTAAACTCCAAATGTTAGGGTTTAGGGTTTTAGGAGGGATGGCTACGTGGCAAAATAACTGTTGGGCCACATTTGACACCTCGAGCGCTCGCAGAATCATGTCCGGAAAGGCAATTTGCCACATCTTGGCAACAGGCGGCAAAAGAATCTTGTGGGCCACAGTTTACACCTCGAGCACCAGCAGAATCATGTCAAATCCACGTCGCAAGTATTCCAATGGTCTGTCGGGGTTTGGCCGCATTTCTTTGCCAAACCCTGTGGAGAACCTTAGGGGTTCAGCGGTTTAGGGCTTAGGGTTGAGATTCGTCGGTTGGACCTGCCAGGCATCAACTACACCGCATCCGCAGTCAAGGGGCAGGCATCCGGGTGACCAGGCACGTGCCCAGTACGATGCTGAAGCAAGTGGGTGCTGCTGCTATCTCAGCCAGCCCAGCTGCAAATCCTAAACCCTGAACCCTAAGCTTCCTAAGCCCCATAAAGACAGTGACCTAGAAGATACCGAGCATCCTTTACTAAACCTACTAAGCCCTAAACGCCAAACCGTAAAGTTTCATGAAGCTCCCCAGTCAGCCTTTCAGGTCACGAGGTGGAGTTGGCGATTTCTCCGATTGGGCGCATGAGGCACGGAGCGTGAGGGCTTCAGGATTTTAGGGTTTGGGGTTTAGGGCGGTGCCTATACGGGTTCCTGTTAATGAGTTTAAGGCCTAAGGCTTCTACAGGGGTTCGTAGAAGAGTTCCTGTTAAGAGATCTGGGGTTTGGAGAATTCAGGGGGGGGTGGGAGTGGGTGCATAGGATAGTTGAGTACTTCTCTAAATGAGGCCGGCTTTTAGGTCTCAAGAATAGCAGGGCACCCTTTTAAAAGGATCCTGTAAGGGAGCACAAGTAAGAGAACTTCACGGTTCCGTTATGCCCGGCACGGTTTGCTCTCTTCAAAAATCCCTGTCCCTTCCCTACACGCCAGGGGATTGGCGGGATACCACAGCTCGTTGCTGATCGCTGGAGAGGCTCACTCCGTCTTGGTGTGCTAGGTACTGTTACGGGGGATACTTCCCCAAATCATAATGGTAATTCCTACTATAGAAACCCTACATTCTACTATATAGGTACTCTGGACCCTTAGGGTTGGTGTGCTAGGTAGCATAGCATCGAAACACGCATCGTCACAGCATTCGCGTGAAGTGGTCGTCCCAGCAGCAGCATCGGTAGCAGCAGGAGGCGGAGGAGTGGTGGAAGAGGTGGCGATAGGGATTCCCAAGTACGACGATGACGAGGAAGATGCTAGCGGCGACGACCAGAAGCAGCACTGCACTAACAACTGCCACTCCCAGTTCCACTAACTAACACTACAGCTCCTGCAACCACCACCACCATCGCCACCACCATCACCAGCCCGCCCACCACCACCACCGTCACTAATGCGATACCACCACAATGACTACTACTACTACTACTACTACTACTACTACTACTACTACTACTACTACTACTACTACTACTACTACTCCTACTACTACTGCTACTGCTACTACTACTACTACTACTACTACTACTACGACGACTACTACTACTACTACTACTACTACTACTACTACTACTCCTGCTGCTGCTGCTGCTGCTACTACTACTACTACTACTACGACTACTACTACTACTACTCCTGCTGCTGCTGCTACTACTACTACTACGACGACGACGACTACTACTACCATCTGCTGACGATTCATCACGCTTATTCTGCTTCCGGTTTTTCTGGTGGTTCTTTCTCTCTCTCTCTCTCTCTCTCTCTCTCTCTCTCCCTCTCTCTGACTAGGACAAGGACGACGGTGAGGATTATCAGTGCTACCCTACCGGGACGGCGACGACGGTGGTGATGACGACGAGTGCTACAGATTGCTACAATCAGCTCGACCACTGTGACGACTTCGATAGGGACTTTGCACAAGACGGCGGCAACGACGACGATGACCTCGACCAAGACTTCGACCGCGATCGCGACGCCCGACACGGACCTATTTCAGAGATGTAGACTGGGATTTCTAGTGTTGCAAGAGGTGTCGTCAGTGTCCGTGTCCCGTTTTGCATTGTCACTAGACTCACTGGGCCGCATAAGCTGGAGCCCTCATGACTGGCTGCAGCAGCTCCGAGCCATAATGTCTGCAAAACTACAGTAGAAGCCCAGAAGTTGGAAACCCCATAGCCTCAATCCTTAAGAGTAATGTGTAGGGAGTCCCAGCAATATTTGGCCTTAATCCGGTTTCCACCTTTATGGTGTTTACTGTAGGTAAGATAGACGTTAAGCAGCTAAGCGTTTGTCTGGGAAGCGCCAGGAGTACTACTTCAGCCCCACTGGCATCCACTGTTATCCGAAGATCTACAGCCACCCGGATGAGGCAGAGAAGTTAGCATTAAGGTTTAGGAATTAGGGTTGTGAGGGTTTATTTTGCTAATGATCGGGCTTCTGCAGTTGGTCCTGCTTGATTCCCCGGAAAGAAACTTAAATCTTGGCTTTGGGGTGCGGGGCTTAGGTCATCTGTCACCGATTCAGGATGAACACAGGGCGCAAGGTGGATGTGGGGTTTCAGGGTTTGGTGTAAGGAGGGCTTCATCCCTAACCATTGCCCTGACCGTACCCCCTAAAACCCAGGGTGTTCTCCGGGTTTAGGTTTAATGATCATACCTGCGAGCACATTGGGAAACAGGACTTCGGGCTTTGAACACAGTGAGAGACACAACCCTAAATAAAGCCTTGAACGTCTGAACAAAGCCCCAAACTTTAAGATACCTTGAAGTCCTGAAGTCTAAAGTACCCAGAGACTCCCAAACCCCTTAATCAAGGAACATGCCCTAAACCATATTAGGTATCCTATCGTATTTTAAGGTATATTCGTTCCTTAATTATCGAGTTTGGGAGTCTGAAATACTTTGAGAAGCCCTGCAGTTTTGGTTTTGGTTGAAGCCCTAAAGTCGTAAGTTTTGCTAGAGGCGCACGCTAAGCCCGAACTTTGAATTCAGCCCGAGGTTCATTGAAGTTCGAACTGTTAGTGACTGTCTCTCTGGTTCCTAGCCCAAAGGGTGCAAGTATCATTCTGGTGGATACTTATAGGGTATTTTGGGGGTCTAAGTGTATACCAGAATGATACTTGGACCCTTTGGGTATTAGGGAATGGGGGAATGGGTTATGGGGACTATTTTGGGGGATTAGATAGGGACTACTATAGGGATCCATTCTTCCATTCCCTACTAAGCACCAGACAGCTGTTAGGGCTCACCCGTTCCTTCATCGACATATACTTGTACTGTATGGCTGCAAATATGACGAATGAATGAATGAATGAATGAGTGAACGGCTGATTGACTGAATGAATGAACGCACGAACGAGCGAACGAATTCGTAAGGTAGTCTAAACGTGGAACGACAATCGAGCTTGTAGGGTATGAATCCTCCCAAGCGCAGAAGGCTTTTCAGAGGCCGCCGGCCCCTACCCCTACTGCTTCAATTTGGGCTTCATAGTAGCTGAGTAGGTGACCTTTAACCTTTTGGTGTTTATATAACCCTACCAAAATTGAAAACCCTAAACCCTAAACTTATTTGAGCTATAGTACTCGGCCCTTCCGGGTTTGGGCGATTGGAGAGAGCATATTCACTTCGTGTCCCAGTCCCGTAGTTAATCGTACGATGGGGTTCTATAGTAGGGTTCTCTTTTTTGGGGGGGTTTTGAATACCCTTTCACGAAAACACGGCTGGCAGGGCGTGACCAAAGTCTTCATCGGACTTAGCGAAGCGTTGGCCCTGCTCAGTTTTACGGTTTCCGGCATAGGGTGTAGGAGTTAGGGCATTAAAAAAGGGTGTAGGGTTTCCATCGACTACGGATCATTGAGGCTGGGGGTTTGGGGTTTGTGACTCAGCTGGTTTCAGGTTGATAGTTTGTGACTTTAGGCTTCAGGGCCTTTTAGTGTTCAGAGAGAGTCAATTCGCGAGCCATG